ACATACACGTGTCTCTGCCTTCTGCAGGTCAAAGCGTCCCTCCTCTGGATGGAGGACCGCGCCCGTGAGGCCGCCGCCAACACGGCCGCGGGGCGCTGGGGGGCCGTGGACTCTGACGCGGCCGCGCGGCGTGATGAGGAGGTGGACCCCGCCCTGGTGGAGGTGCGCCTGGCGCGCCGGGGGGTTGTGTGCGAGTGTGGATTCAAGAAAAGATCAGGGGAGAGAGGGCGAGAGAGAGACACAGAGAAAAAGAGAGAGAGGGAGCGCGAAAGAGAGAGAGAGAGAGAGAGAGAGAGAGAGAGAGAGAGAGAGAGAGTTGTTGTGCGCACGCGCGTAGTGCGGCTGTGCATGTGCATTGTGCATACTGCAGACAACCCGCCCCTGACGGCTGCACCTCATGCCAAGTGAGCAGCGAAGTAGAGGCACAAAAATCTTGTTGCACAGGCCTGCAGGCTACCCGTAACCGCTCACATAACCTCTCAATGCCCTCGTATGTATGCACACACACACTACACAAACGCATACGCAAACGCACTTGCCCCCAAACACGCGGGCATGCACCCTCGGCTCAGGAATTGGAGGGGGTGGCGGGGCAGCTGGAGGCGGCGCACCTGGCCGGCGTGAGGCGCCTCACAGAGCAGCTCTCCGACGAGGTGCGCCCCCTGGCGTTGGACAACTTTCACGGGGGACGAGGGCTTGGGGGCCGGTGCTGCGGGCATGGGTCAGGGGCCGGCCAGGCGGGTTGGTCGGGGCTGAGTGGCACTCACTCCGCAGGTCGGCGCAGCAGCAGGTCTCAGTGTTGGCTCTGTCTCCGCGCATCCCGCATGTTTCGTTCACTCCCCCTTTCTCCCTGTGCAATACAATGCACACAAACACACACACACACACACACACACACACACACACACACACGCACACACACAACCACACACACAACCACACACACACACACAACCGCAGCGCCAGGGCGGCGTCGCCCACGCCTTCAACGAGGTGCGCTACCTGCTCTGCCGCCTGGACCGCGCGTTCTACGAGAGGCAGGCCGGCGCGATGGACGGTGCGGCGGCGGCGGGGCGGCCCTCCGGGGCCGGGGGCGGCGCGGTGGCCGGTGGGCTCGGGTTTTGAGGGGGCCCGGGCACACGGCGGAGGCAGCCGCTGGGTGCACTTGGTGCGCCTCGGAGCACGGAGCTTGGTGCCAGCTGGACGAAGGCGCTGGGGCATCTCATGCCAGTCCCTCTGGGGCATGTTTTGAATGTTGTGCGACCTGTTTGGACCCGTCGTCGACTTTGCTGTGTGGTGTGTGCAGCCTGGCTGACCCATAGGCTTCAGGCTGCAGCACATCAAGTGCGAAGCGCTTTGCCCGCCTGCCCCGCTGCATGGAACAATCTTGTTTTTAGCAATCTATTGGAAGTGCCCGGCGCGCAGCAGCACCTGGCAGCCCAACCGCTTGTCTGCTGTCTCAGGCGGCTTCCTGGAGGTGGACGCACCCAGCTGACAGTTGCTGGGTTCGAGGGCTTTGATGGATCAACCCTGAAACCTGTGGCTCGCGTGTCTGTTGAGAAGTCAGCAGGGCCGCCATGGTTACACAAACTCGGCGGGCTCTATGGCGGCGCAGTTCTCGGTCGTCGCGCTCGCGCCACCCTGGCTGCACTTGCTGAGTCCCTGATAGACGAAGGGGGTGTAGGGGCCGCAGGCGCAGCGTCGTCAAAACCACGTCCGTGACTGCCCAGTCATGTGCATGCAACTCTGCAAACCAAGCGACCCTTGAAGCTGGCAGGCCCATACACGCTCACTTTATTGAAGCCAGCCGACCACATACACACACACACACACACACACGCGCGTGCGCGCGCGCGACTCACTGCTTACCTTGAACAGCGCATCTGGCCCTCGCCGCGACAGGCGCAGCAGCTCCACCTCATATCGCACCGCGCTGTTGGGCGGCACGATTGCGTAGGGCGCCGCCGCCGCCTGCGCCCCAAACGCCAGCTCGGGCGGGCACAGCACGACGCGGCGGCCGCCGACCGTCATGCCTGTGAGGGCCGACTGCAGGCCAGCGCAGATGCCGGGCAGCGGGGAGCCGCCCAAGCGGAGGGCAAGGGGGCGCAGGACGCCGAGCCCACCGTCGCGGTATGTCTGGAGTGAGGGTCAAGGGTGGAAAAGCGAGGCGCGCCGTCCGCGGTAGGGGGGGGGAAGGCTGAGGTAGCTTTTGGTTTGATGGTCAGCGTTTGGATGGGTTGCAACTTGTTCACAGCGGGAACATCTGTCGACCCGCAACGCTGCCATATGCTGCTCGTCACCATGCTGCCTGCCCCGGTGGAGTGGAGTCAACTCTGGAGGCGCCCTAGGATCCGACAGCCCAGGCAGCCCACCCACCAGGCCCACGCCCCGCGTGCTGTCAAATACGACGCCTGATTCCGCGATGGTGCCTGCGGCGAACCGGTCGGGTGGGTCCGCCATGAGTGCCGCGTCCCCGGTCGGTCAGTGCAGCAGGTGCCGCTCTCGTAGACCCCTGCTCGCTCTGCTGCAGGCGCCTGCCTGCGCCCTGCACGGCCCCCGCCACCCATGGACGTCCGGGAACGCAAGAAGCACCCTCAAGGCACCCCATTCATGCAGGCGCCCTGGCCGCACCTGTGTAATGCACCAGGACAAGGTCCAGCGCCTGTGCTGCAGCAGTGCCAACCCCTGGCTCGTCCGATTCGATCAGGATCTCAGCGGCCGCACAAGCTGCCTGTGGCGCCGCCGTCGCCACTCCCGCCGCCACGATCAGAGGGAATGCGAGCAGGGTGCGCCGGTCGCACTCAAGGGGTGCCTCATTGGGAGACTCGGCACTGCAGCTTCTGGCACTCGTTCGAGCGCCTCTGCACAGAGCGGCGGGGTGCCGCATACACTGTCGGATGGACGGCCGTGCCACGCAAGCCCGCTGCAGACCAAGAGATTTATCTTTGGGCAGCTGCACGGCCATTCTTCTTGAGCTCCAGGTCCCTGATCCGCAGATCAAGCTGTGTGACTCGACAATCAAGAGCTGAATCGGTGCCTGATAAGCGGCCGTCGCAATAAGGCTGTTCACTTGAAGAATTTCTTTGACAAGGACTGAGCGTCTGCATGGGAGGTGACTTGGGGTGACCCGGTGACGGCCGCGGCCACCACAACCTGCACCCAAGCACAACCACTGCCGCAATCCACAAGGGTTCCGCGAGTTCAATCAATTTACAGGTGATTGTCAAGGGATCCAAGCCCGCCTCAAGGACTCGCCACCAGTGCTCCGGCGCCTCGTACTTCCGACACTCTGCTGACCGCCGATCGAAGCTACCCCGCCAGCACTGCCGGGCCGCCGCCGCACCACGTCTCCAGTGCCCGACGACAGCAATTCTGGGGCCCATGCAGTCCCCATCATTTCCAGCAGCCTGTGCTGTTGCCGCAGCTCCTGGCGCAGGAGGTGGTCCCGGCTGGTGTGCAGCGCCTGGGGGCCAGGAAATTGCAAGTTGATGTGTCAGCACGTCAGGGGCGCAAAGCGAGTAGGTGTTACAACGAAAGGGCAAAAATTGCTCCACGCACTGCACGCATGGAATCTTTAAAGGCGATCAGCCGCCTCATCTGACTGCTCTGCTGGTGCGAGCCGGCCACTGGCAGGCGCTGGCACCCAACCCGGGGCAGCTTCGGGCATCACACCTGCAGCGTCGCCTCAACCTTGGCCTGCTTTGCCGCGACGAGGTCGCGCCCCCCTCGAAGCTGGCCGCGCTCCTCGGCCTGCTGCCGCCGCAGGCGGGCGCGCCGCTGCTCCGCGGCGCGGTGCTCTGCGGCGGCCTGCGCCTGCGCGCCTGCCTCGCGCTCGCTGCTCAAGGATCTGAGGTGAGGTGGCCCAGGGGGTGAGCTCTTAACGTGGGACCAGAATTCTCTTGACAAAGGGGCCTTAACAGCTGCATGTGTGCATGCAGCATTCCGCGCTGCTGCTGCTGTGATCCTCCAGCCACACATCAATGCACTCTTCGTACGTGGCAGCATCCCAGGGACTGTCATACTTTGACACACCATTGCGTTGAAACCACACAGGGCAGATCTTTCCACACGGCTGCTGACCCTGACCTGCCCCAGCACCATGCAGGCACTGCTGCAGGCCCCACACTGCTGGCAGCCGGCGCCTGCGGAAGCGACCAGTCGCACTGCTGCTGCTGCAGGCACCCACCTGCGCGCGTCTCCCAGGACGGCCTCCAGGGAGCGCCTGACCGGGCTGGCGCGCGACTGCAGGGTCCCAAGCGCCCCGTCTGGCGATGCGAGGCGGGAGCCTGGCGTGCAGCATGGGAGCGCATCCGGTCTCATGGTCAGAGGGCCAGAAAGCCCGCCGCCTCACTTGCGGTGCCCATGCATGTCCTGGGGCAAATCGCGAAACGTGCACGCCCACCCAGCCGAGTCCCGCAGGCGTTACAGAGGCGGGTGCAAAGGGCACTGGTGCCAACCCCCCCCCCCCACCCCCCCCTTGCGCACCATGGCACATGCTGCAGCAGGTGGTGCTGTGGAGGTGGGCGCGCAGCGACGTGTCTGTGGGGACAGGAGGAACCCGCATGCAGGGTGCCGGGTGATCACACTGTGCCCCTCTGTGCAAATCTTTGAGAGGGTACGGCGCCACACGACTGTCGCACGCATGCTCGCAGCAGCAGCACAGTGAGCAATGGTCGTAGTGATGCATCTCGGCCGCAACAGCCCGCCGGCGCCCTGCCGCCTCACCAACCCGCTCTCTCACCATCCTGGAGGGCCAGCCGGCCCTTCCTCCAGACCCACATGTCTGTGGCCCCCGCACCACCAAGATCCTCGTCATCGTCATCGTCATCCTCTGCCAAGGTGTCGCACCATGGCGCCCTCGGTCTTCGCCCCACCGCCGCTGCCTCTTCGATACCCGCCTCTTGGCCAATCACCCTGCCAGTACTATGCGGCCTGCAGCCGCCATCGGAACGCCAGCCCCTGTGGGGTGACTTGGCGGTCGACACGGGCTGTAGCCGCGGCGGAGGCGGCGGCCAGGTGCCAGGGGAGCATGCCGCAGCCACCCTCTGTGTATGCAAGGTGGACCTCGTTGTGTGTCTGATGGTGGTGCTGGCGGCAGGTGTGTGAGCCGCCCGCTGCCAGTGCCCTGGGCTGGTGCGAGACTGGCTCAGGCGCGCGGCATCCTGCTGCAGCTCTGGTTGGGGTGATGGCGGCCTCCAAGGCGGCTGCTGCGCAGATGCCGTTGACCGGTTTAGCCGCCGCCCCTTCTGAGACCCGGCCGCAAACCCTGGATGATGCTGCCGGTGGCGATCTTCTGCCTCTTCAGGGTGCCACTGCTGGCAGGCAGCACCTTCTGCTGGCCAAGTGCCGGTGCTGCTGACGGCGACGGCGTTGCTCGTCACCGGCCGCAGCAGCTGCTGCCGCTCAAACTCGAGCTGCTGCTGCATCAGCTGCGTGCGCCGCCGCCGCAGCGCGCGCACCTCGCGGCGCGCGTCCAGCTCTGGCTGCAGGTCCGGTTGCAGCTGCAGCTGCAGCTTCGAGCCGAGCGGCTGCGCGCCGACCACCACCTCGCGGCCGGGGAGGAGGTGGTAGAACTCGCGTGCGTCGCTGCAGGCGGCCGCGGCCGCCGCCAGCGCAGACAATGGAGAGCCTGCTGTTGAGCGCATCGCGCACTCCGTCAGTCAAACGCGACTTGACTGCACTGTTGTGGGTTCAGGCCAACAAATAGCACGTGTCGTCTTGTGCTCTCGTGTTTGTGATACCCCGATACGTTCAGAAGTGGCCGTCCCACTGTAAGAAACTTCCCGCGATCTGATTGCGAGTGTACGCAGGTCTGCGCAGGTCTATTACAGACTGTACAGGGGTCAGAAATGCACACGTGTGAAGTGAAGGACCAGGCTTATAGAATTTTGCTGAAATGCTTGAACCTGGCTTGGACCGGCAGCACCCGTGCCACATCACCGTCCCAGGTCACAGTGTCATCACAGCCTAGCCGCTCCTTTGACGGCTGTTTGCAGTGCCTGCGGTGTGATGACTCACACCCTGTGCTGTGAGTCATCACAGGCCCGCTGCGCAGGGTGCATGCGTTGGGGGCTGGCTGACTCTGTGCCCCTCCTGAAGCTTCACACAGGCGGTTTGTGCGGTGCACAAGACGGCGTTACATTTTCATTGGGCTCGGCCCTGATTCAACTGCCATCAGCTAGCCGTTCAAGGGAAGGCCACGGCCGTGGCTACGGGAGCAAGGGGTCAATAATACATTACTCACGACGCAGGCAGCATTTTGCAGCTGCCCGTCACGCAACTGGCGGCAGCAGCGCGAGAGTTTGCTTTGCAGCAGCGCGGCTGTTGAAGCACGCCGCACAAAAGCAGCCAATGGCTGCTTCAAAGTAAGGAGCGCGACCGCACATCTGGGCCGACAGCCCGATTTGACGAATGGACGAGCCGCAACATCGCGCCCAACCCTCGACCACCACAGCAGCAATAAGGGTCCCCTTCCCCAGCACCCGGCCACGCGGCCATTGGCGCGGGACCATGGCAGGTCCAGATTAAAAAAATACATTGCCGGGTCAGCTGCACACGGCTTTCAATCGAGAGCTCACCGCCGCCACCCAAGTTGTAACAGCATCACCCCTCCGTGTCCGCCATGACCACCAGCTCATCACCCTCCGACCACCTCACCAAGTCGTCCGGCGCCGGCGCCAGCAGCATGCGGCCGTCGGCCCTCCGGTACCCGAGAGCCAGCGCCCGCCCCGACTGCATGACCTCCTCGGCCACGAGCCCAAAAGTGGCCCAGCCGCCGCCGCGCCCAAAGCCGTAGGCCGCCGCGGGCACCATCGCGAGCTGGGTGCCGCCGCGGCGGTGGAGCAGCAGGCGCTCAAAGACGTCGCCGTTGTGAGGGTGCGTGGCGATCTGGGCGGTTGGGGGGAGCGGGGCGGGGCGTTTGAGCGCCCCCGCGTCAGGGGATGGGCGGGTGCGAAGTTGGATTGCTGTAGTAACCATGCTCCTGTGATGACCCCTTGAAAGATCACTGTACAGAAAGATTGCATTCCAATGCTCCTGGATAGCTGGCAGCAACTGCTGGATGTGGATGAAAAGCGCATGCATGTGCACACGTGCGGGTACAAACACACACACACACACACACACACACGCACGCACGCACACGCGCGCACGCGCACGTGCCGCCCACCTGCACCAGCGCCGCCGACACGAGCTCGTCCCCAATGAGCAGCTCAAACGAGAACGCCCGCCGCAGCATCGACCGCAGGAACGCCTTGGCCGTCCGCCGCATGCCGTAGCTCCCCACCAGGCACACCACGTGCAGCTGCCGCCGCCCCCCACCGCTGCCCCCGCCGCCGCCGCCGCCGCCGGGACCGCCGGGCGGGGCCGTTGCGGCGTCCGGCGCGCCGCCGGCGTCGGACGCGGGCGGCGGGCGGCAGCGCTCCAGCAGTTCCTGAAGGGAGAGCAGCTCGCACATCAGGACGGCGTCCGCCGCCTGGGTGGCGGCGCCAAAGGCGCCGGAAGGCTCGCTGCAGGAGGCGAGCACCAGCGCGTCCGCCTCCGCCACGCCGGCGGCCAGCAGCGCCTCGGCGCTGGCCGGGCGCGCGGCGTACACCTCCCGCACGCGCACCGACGGCGGGAGCGGCGG